CACTGTGGCAAAGCCTTATCTGCTCATTGAATGCTATAGGAATTTGTGTGCGTGCGTGCATGCGTGTGTGTGTGTGTGTGTGTGTGTGTGTGTGTGTGTGTGTGTGCATCTGTGTTCAGGTGCACATGTGCATACATGCATGTGGAGACCAGAGGACAACCCCAGATGTTTCTCAGGCTCCATCTACATTATTTATTGAGATACGGTGTCTCTCTGGCCTGGGGCTTGCTGAGTACGAAAGATTGACTGATGACCAAATCTCAGGGGTCCTCTGTCTCCAGAGGTTCTCTGGCCCTGGGATTGTAAGAACCTTCTGCACTGACCTTTTCGGTGAGGGTTCTGGGGATCACACGAGTTGATGACAAGTGAGTGCTTTACCAACCAGGTTATCCTCCAGCCCCTACCCAAAGAAATCACCTGAGTCATGAACAGTTTTGTGGATTTTACAGAAACCGAAGCTCAGAGGTTGAATATCATGCACCCTCAGAGTTGGAAACTCACAAATGAGACAAATGTCTTCATCCATCCATTTCCTCACCCACCCATTCCCTCATCTACCTATCCCCCTCACCCATCCATTCCCTCACCCATCCCTCCCCTCACCCATCCCTCCCCTCACCCATCCATTCCCTCACCCATCCATTCCCTCATCTACCCATCCCCCTCACCCACTCATCCCATTCCTTTCTTTAACTAAGTTGAACTGATAGCCTTCGTGTGTCAGCCATGTGGCAGCCCCCAAAGGCACAGCTGGGACCAAGGCTGGCAAGGGCTCAGGGCCACTTCACTGCATAGGCTGCATGTTGACTGGCACCCAGTCTTCTGCCATAGGCTCAGAGAGCCTTCTGGGAGTGTGAGAATGTTCTTCTCAAGGTCTGAGAAGACTGGGGGAGAATGCTTTCTCCCTTGACAAATTGCTACATTGTGTTTTCATTTTAATAATTATCTAAAAGTTCTGTATCAGCCGCTGGCTGCCTTATAGCCTACTACTGGCATCAGAATTATTTTTTATCCCGGTGTTCAAGTCGGCAATGTGTGGTCTTTCAAAATGAAGTGTTTAACGTCTGGAAGCTTTGTGTCTTACATGAGAGTCTGAATGGGAGCCCAAAGGACCAAAGAGGACTCTGAAAGACTCAGCCATGAGGGACGTTGTACAGTATTCCCCTCCTCTGAGCAGAAGGGACTAGGCTGAGAAGAACAAGGTCTGAAGCCTGTGACCTCCTGCTCTCAGGCTTGGGATGGGCCGAGGCCAGAGACTCAGAAACAAGCAGATTAGGAGAGGTGACCTTGAATTTGGAGCAAGGTGTCATGCTTTGAACACTGCTCCTCCGGCCTGCACAAATCTTTGTACCTTCCTGGTGGGCCTTTGCAGAAGGGACAGTATGTTGAGGTTCGGAAGGGGACTGCAGGCCTCCTGGAACACTGGCATCTTCTCAGAGAGCAGCATCCTCCCAGCTTCCACAAATCCCAGCCTCTTCCGGGACCCATGGTGCCAACCTCACAGTAGGCAGCCACAGCTGTGACAAATGTGCCTCTAGGGTTGGCCTGGTTCCTGGACCTTGAGTGGGGCTGGGCACACAGAACCCTCTTTGGGCGGGAGACTTTGCCTGCCCAGGAGGCAGGAAGTTCAGAATTCACCGCTGCTCTTCCTTATCCATTCCTTAGCCGTGGAGAGAGGTGGCGTGTGGCCATGTCCCCTTCTCATGTGTTCTACTTTGTCTGCACACGCCGATTTCCATACCCAGCTGAGCTGGGTTCTCTTGTCCATCCCCACACCGGGGATCTGCCAGTGTCTCCTGCAAAGATTCTGAGAATCAAAGGTTCGGCTTTGAGGGGCCCAAGCTTCGTGTCTCCCCACTCTGTCTGCTCTTGGCGCTGAAGAAGCCACAGAGTCTGTAAATAGATCTGTGTGGCAAAGCTCTGGTGAAACTGGGCTTGCAAAGGCAGCCAGGGCCAGATTTGGCTTACAGGCCACAGCAGGCTAGCCCCTGGCCTGGATGGAATCAGCCCCAAGAAGCCCATGGTTAGTTCCCCATGGCACATCTGCTTGGGCCTCCATGAACTGGGATCCCTAGCCACAGGCTCCTGCTTGTCTTTCCCCTCCTCCACTCCTCCCCTCCTCTCCCTTCCCCTCCCCTCCCCTCCCCTTTCT